AAATCCCCTAATCACTGTCCTCCCTTTCCATCATTCCTCTTTCAACACCCCTTTTTACTACCCCCTTTTCACCTTTCACCACCTCCCCTTTTACCACCCCCTTTTCACCAACTTCCCCTTTCACCACCGCTCCTTTTCACCACCTCCCCTTTTCACCACCACCCCTTTTCACCACCTCCTCTTTTACCACCCCCTTTTCACCAACTTTCCCTTTCACCACCGCTCCTTTTCACCACCTCACCTTTTCACCTCCTCCCATTCTCACCACCTCCCATTCTCACCACCTCCCATTCTCACCACCTCCCTTTTCACCACCTTCCTTTTCACCATCTCTCATTCTTACCACATGTACTTTTCACCACCACTTTCTTTCATCACCCACCATTCACCATTGTCGTTCACCACCCCCTCTCACCACCACTCCACCTCTTGACTTGAACTCAATCCAAGGTGTTGCGATTCTCACGGCCGCTGGGTTCAGAGGTAATCCCGTTGACTCGGACTTGGATTTGGCGCCGGGACACGGCCGGCGCGCGGCAGGATAATGGCCGTGATGTGAGGGCAGCAGTTGTGCAAACAGCGTCGCGCGAGGGTCGGGCGGTCGGCGAGGGAAAGATTCGAACGGAAATTTAATTTAAATTTGGATTTTAAAAAGTTTAAATTGTCACCTTTTTTGATGACGAATGTAAAAGATGAAGTCGTGTACTGGGTTTTCAATTCTTATTCTCGTTAGAATTATTTAGTAACGAACTTATCTTTTGTAAAGAACTAACGAGGATGTAAATGGAAAGTTTAAAAAAGTTTACCTTGCAACAATATCAATGTGGTTAGCAGTCGATGAATTGTTTATATATGTTGCTGTATGAGTAACTACTTATTCCTATACTATGTATCTGGCTGTGCATGCACCTCACGCAGCCTCAGCAGCGGCCGCAAATGAGGGCTTTTGTCGCGGCGTGACGCAGAAATTCAATTGCCTTCCTAGTTTAAGCGAACCCAAATCTGTCTCTTATACACATCTAGATGTGTATAAGAGACAGGGATATGCCTCTATGACTTTTTCTCCTGCACAAACTCGTTATTCGACCATAGAGAGGGAATTAGTGGCTATACGTTGGGGTGTGCAGGCCTTTAGAGCTTTTGTATATGGTGTACCCTTTTTGTTATATACGGATCATAAACCATTATTATATCTCCATAATATGGCTCGAGATAATTCAAGACTAATGCGTACGATGGTAATTTAGCTGAATTTGATTTCACCATTAAATATAGACCCGGCAAAGATAACACTGCAGCTGATACTATGTCACGTGTAATTAATGTGCCTGCTGATCGTGAAGATGACCCACCCTCAGACATACTTCCCAAAAGGCTAAGTTTGATTAAGAGCGTGGAAGGTGGTGGCGATTCCTTATTTATTTCCTTGCACGCATGTCTAAGTGAAGTCGAAGATCCTCTTTTGTGTGAAGTTCCTGAGACTCATGCAGACCTAAGACGTAGTTTGGTCCAATTTTTATACGAGAACCCTAGAAAATTCAATGTTCAGCCTGACCGTAATTTTA